TTCCTTTTTGAAAAAGGAGTTCTTTCGTTCAAACACCGCTGAGTTCAGTGGTGGGCCTGACTCGATGAAGGCAGATGAATGGTTGGAACAAATTATCAAATCTTTTAAGATTTTAGACATCCGAGAGAATGAATTATAGGTAGCATTAGCGGCATATCAATTAAATAGAGAGGCTACACAATGGTGAAAGTACGTCAAGAATCTAGTTGAACACAGATGGGAGACATTTGTGCATACTTTCCAAGAAAAGTTTCTCCCTCCCACTGCTAGGGAGAGACTAAGGAAATACTTTGAGGAGCTGTTACAGTTCGATACACTGGTGGCTGAGTTTGACGCCACATTCACTAGTCTATCTCGCTTTGCGCCCCGAACTAGTAGCAATGGAAGAATGCCGATTCCTTGAATTTGAAAAGAGGTTGAGACTAAAATTTTTTATGAAAGTGGTAGGTAATATGATTCGTGATTATGTTCACGTAGTTAAATCAGCAATCCATGTGGAAATCATAGTAGAGGCAGAGGAGGCAAGACAAAGGTAGAAGAGGATGGGACATTCTGAATCCAAGGGCGATACGGGCTCTTTCAAAAAGTCTAGGGGCCTATCATCATCATTTCAATCACCCCCACAATCGGCTAAATCTTTTGATTCTGAGATGGGTGGAAATTCAGGAAGTGTGGGTCAAGTCCGTGGTGCTTACTATAGATGTGGCCAAGTGGGTCACAAAGCTATAGAGTATGGACAGAAGGGTGAAACACAGTCCCAAACTGCGTGCCCACAAGGCCAATCTTACAATAGGGGTCAGTCACTATCTTGTTATCAGTGTGGTCAACTGAGGTATTTGAAGAAGTTTTGTCCACAGAGAGCGAGGACTACTAGTGTAGCAGGGTCTCGACAGTCTGGAGATTTTCAACTGGGTCAGGGACAGAGACAGTCTCACCAGTCAGCTTAGTCAGGCCAAGCATCTAGGGTAGCACCGGGGACTACCTCGGTACAATTGGGACAACAAACTTATGCACACAGAGGTGATATGGGAGAGTAGAGATCACAGGGAATGGTATGTGCCATCACCACTTCAGAGAAGACTTCGGGACTGTTGGTGGTAAGTCAAACTCATTCTTGACACACTCTCAAGCTTGAATTATGCTTCTCAAGAGTCAACCAAGGCTCTAAGATGATGAGTCAAGGTTGTGTATGGTGTATATAGATGATACAAGGAAGGTAGGTTAACTCAAAGGTAGCTTGC